AGGGGGCTGCGGCACTCAGCAGAAAGGACGCAGGGCCCCGAAACTCTGTGCCATCGCCCGAGCTCGCCCCAGAAGGGGTGGCGGTCGAAGGCTGGGGAGCCCACTGGCCCCGGTCCCAGGAGACCCCCACCCGGGTCACCCGGCATGCCCATCCCCCACCGCCCCCCACCGGAGCACTCACGGTTCTGCTGAGCCAAGGGCAGGTGCGTTGTCGTGAAGGCCAGAAAGCACTGGTTCCCCATGTCACAGTCCAGCAACCCCGGGACCTGGCCATGGAGGCTGGCCCAGAAGTCGAGGTGTTGGAGTTTCAGGTCCACCTTCAGTGAGAGGAGAGAGAGCCCGCGAGGGGTGGGAGACTCGAGAGACTGAGGCTCAGGCCTCTGAGCCACTCCCTCAAATACCCAGGCTCTGATTGAGTTAGTTTTGCGGGCTCTGATGAAGTTAGTGTTGACGCCTTTAATCCCCTCTGGCCTCAACTGAGTACCCTCTGCCACGTCTTGCCTCAAACCTCTATGCTTTCGAGTTGGGCCTGGGGAATCTCGGGGGCCCAGAAGAGAGCTATTCCAGGTCCTCTTCCCCTGATACATGTGCACGAAGCTCTTAATTTATTTAATAAATTCGTCTACTGGTTCAGAATGATCCCGTGATAGTATTAACTTTCTAGAAGTTTTGATTGATTTTATGGCTTATCCAAGATCGCATCTGTACTACATTATGAAGATAAGATTAAATGGTGAGTTCTTAAATTTTATTTTTAATAATTTCAAATTTACAGAAAAATCTTAAGAATACTATTTTTAAAAACCCCTATTTACCTAAATCTTGTAATTCACCAATTATTAACACTTTATTACACTTTAATTTTCTCCCCATATACGCATAAGCTATATATATATATATATATATATATAATTTTTTCTGAACAGTTAAAGAGTAGTTTGCAGATATCATGCCTCTTTACCCATAAATACTTCACTGTGTATTTCCTAAAAACAAGGAGATTATCTTACATAACCAGGAAATCAGAAATGAGAAAATTATCAAAATCAGAAAATTTAACATTAATTCAATACTATATTTAATGTGCAGATCCTATTCAAAATTTTAAAATTGTCCTAATAATGTTCTTTATATAAATTTGTTTTCTGGTCTAGGATCCAACTCAGGATCATGCAGTGCATTTAATTTTCATGTTTCTTTAGTTCCCTTTAATCTGGAGCACTTTATTACACTTTTTAATCTTTTGTAATACTGATATTTTTAACATTTACAGGTCATTTATTCTGTAGAATGTCCCTTAGTTTTAGGTTTTCTGATGTTTCCTCATAATTAGACTTAGGCATTTTTGACAGGAATATCACAGAGGTGATGTTTCCTTCTTAGCACATCATATCTGGAAGCACGTTATGTTAGTTTGTCTCATTATTAGTGATGTTAACTTCAACCACTTGGTTTAGTGGTATCCACCAGGTTTCTCTTCTGTAAAATTACACCCCCCCACCTTGTAATTAGAAAGTAATTTGTGGGGAGATACTTTGATCTAAAATTCTGTGCCTCATCAAATTTGGTCCCACTAATTCTGGCATCCACTTATGATTCTTGCCTGAATCAATCATTACTTTGATGGGTGTAAATTGATTATTTTTCTAAATCTATCATTCATTTTCCATTTATTTAGTTGGCATTCTATTGTAAGGAAGAGCTTTTCCTTATCCCATATCTGTTTGTTTATTAGTATGGATTCAAAGGACTCTTATTTTATAGAGTGGATTATAATTCATTACTATCATTATTTGTTTTAAACTTTTGTCCCAGATTTGGCTAGTGGGTGAGCTAGCCCCCTCTGGTTCTTTTGTGCATCCTGAGTTCCCCATTAGAGCCCATCCACCCTATACTGTGTTGTCTGTTTCTTGTCTACCAGACCAGAAACTTTGAGAGTACAAGGCACAAAGGAGACCCTCAATAAATGTTGTTTTAACTACAGAGAAAAAAACAGTTTCCTTTTTAAAAGTTTTTTAGGATTCTACCTTTAATACTGATAATTTTAATGATAGTATTTTCCCTAATTATAAAAATATACATGTTTGATGCAGAAAACTTGGAAGTATAGAATGCACAAAGGGAAGAGCAATAAAACAAAAATTATCCTTTGTATTAATCAGAGATAATAATTGATTACATTTTGATGTATAGTATTGCAATATTTTTTGTTATGGGTGTTTCATTTTTGTTTTGTAAAAAAATGTTATTGTAATACATCCACCCTTTTATAGCCCTTTTCAAATTAGTCTACCATTTAATAATGTTAATATCATGCAAATCATATATTTCATAAGGATTAATATCCAGAATATATAAAGAATTCCTACAACTCACACACACATCAAAAAATAGGCAAAGAATTTGAATAGACATTTCTCCAAAGAAGACATTCATATACCCAATAAGCATATGAAAAGATGCTCAACATCACTAATCATTGGGAAAATGCAAATCAAAACCACAATGAACTATCACTTCACATCTATTGGGATGGCTATAATAAAAATAAGCAAACAAACAAAACATAGAAAATAACACGTGTTGACTAAGATGTGGAAAAATTAGGACCCTTGTACATTGCTGATGAGAATGTAAAATGGTACAGTCCTTGTGAAAAACAGTATGGCAGTTCCTCAAAAAATTAAACATAGAATTACCACATGATCCAGCAGTTCCATTTCTGTGTATATATCCAAAGCAATTGAAAGCACAGACTTGAACAGATATTTGCACACACATGTTCATAGTAGTAGTATTCACAGTAACTAAAAAATGAAAACAACCCAAATGTCCATCAGCAGGTGAATGGATAAACAAAATGTGTCATATACATGCAATGGAATGTTATTTAGCCTTAAAAAGGAGTAAAATTCTGATGCATGCAACAACATGGATGAACCTTGAAAACATTATGCTGACTGAAATAAGCCAGATACAAAAGGACATATTTTGTATGATTCCATTTTTATGATATTCCTAGAATAGCCAAATTCATAGAAAAATGAAATAGAATGGTGGTTGCCAAGGGTGGGGGAGGAGGGAATTGGGAGCTCTAGTTTAATGGATATAGAATTTCTGTTTGAGAAGGTGAAAAGATTGTGGAGATGGATAGTGGTGATGGTTGCACAACAATGTGAATGTACTTAATGCCACTAAACTCTACATTTAAAAATTATTAAAATAAAAAAATGGTTAAAATAGTAAATTTTTATGTTATGTTTATTTTACTACAACTAAAAAAAATCATATCAGTAATTTCCAAACTGCTGTGCATTGAAATCTCCTGGGGATCTTTAAAAAATACCAATGCCTGGCTCCAAACCCTAGTCATTCTGATTCTGATATGGGTATGGCCTGGATATTGGGGCTTTAAAAGCCCCCTAGATGATTCTAATGTGTAGCACAGTTTGGCTCCCAGTCCAATGCTCTTCCCACAACACAAGAAAGGTGGGCTTATAAACCTCCCTTGGCTGGTGCAATTAAGATGGGGAAGCATAGCCAAACCATTCTGCAGGGCACGCTCTCCCTGACCCTTTCCTGATTTTAGGCCTCAGCTCAGTTAGGCCCACCCAAACAAAGAAGGATCCCATCTCCTCTTCATTTTTCATAGCACTTATCACATTTTTTATTTGTTTACTTGTTCACATTTTTGGGACTCTCTCTTCTGCTAAGTTTCACGAGGGGGGAGCAATGTCTTTTCACCATTTATTCCTAGCACATCTAGTAGCACCTGGGACATAGTAAGTGCTCAGTTAATGTTTGTGGAATAGAATAAATATTGTCCTCTTCCATTGTCTTTCTCTCCTGAGCTCTTTCTTGGGTTACTCTAGAAAGGCATCATTTAAGAGCATTGTTCCAGCATCTTCCAACTCTAATTTTTTTTTTTTTTGCAGAATTTTTGGCACTTGCCCAGCCCCTTCCTTCTCTCTCCAGGGGCTTGTTTTTTTGTTTGTTCACTTACTCAACAAGTATTTATTGAGTATTATGTACTGTGTCAGAGGCACTGTAGAGCAGAGGTACTCTAGATCCTTGGGAGCAAGGAGACTCTCAGGGAATGTACAGTCTGGTGGGGGAGACAATTGAATAATCACATAAACATATAATTATAAACCGTAGTAATGCTATGAAAGATAGCCTAGGAGAACCTAACCTAATAGAGGGATGGAGGTCAGAGAAGGCTTCCCTGGAGAGGCTGGGTTAACTGTGCAAATAGGAGTGGAATAAGGGTGGGGCAGTTTTAAGGGCAGGTCAGGCATATGGAACAGTCTGTGCAAAAGCCTTGAGGCAAGAGGGAACACAGGGCATTGGAGTGAACATGGTGAGAGCTGAGGGGCAGTTAGGGGAGAGACCAGGGCTCACCTTGAAGGTCACCTTAAAGATTATAGTCTTTATTTTAAGAGCAATGCAAAGATTACTGATCCTTATAAGTAATGTATATTGGAGAGGACAAAAGTGAATAAGGGTGACCATTCCTGCTCTTTTCCCTCAGTTACCAAACTGTACCACTCTTGTCTCTCTACTCCCAGGGTTCTTCTACTTCTGCTCTCTCTTTTGAAAGCCCCTTTAGCCTAGTCTCCACTCCCCTTACCTCCTAGTAACCTGTCCTTTGGTCTCACCCAGGTGACCCTCTGTCTTTCCCATCAGAGTCTCTAATCTTTTCCCCAGCCTTTCTCCTTGTTCTGCGAGCAGCCCCCCATCCAAAGGCCCTCAGGCCTCTAGCCCCCCACATGGTGCTCCACCTCCTGGTTGGGTGGCCTGCTATGGAGGGTGCAAAATCCATAGCCCAGATGTAGGTCTGAGAACTCTGACTCCTGGATTCTTCTCGTATCTGGCCCCTTCCTGCCTCCTGGGGCTATGGGCAGGGAGGGGAGTGGGAACACCTGCAACCTAGACATGGATTCTATAGGTTTGTGCCAAAGTGGAGCCCACGGAACGGAAACACACACAGCAGCATCCAACTTTATTGTAGGGACTTAGTTCACCAAGGAGGGGTGAATTGTTCTTGGGGGTAATTAAATAGGTGAAATGGAAGGAAAACGAATTCTGATAGGGGTGGGGTGAAAGGAATAATAGGGAGAGTTGGGCTAAAATGAAGCATTAGGGGACAAGGAGAGGGGCGGAGGGAGTAAAGGGAATGGAGGTAAAGGCACTGAAGGAGCCAAAGACTGGTGATTGAGGACGGAGAGCAGGCAGTCTTTTCAGGAGAGGAGACAGGAGCAAAAGGCAAAACTCTGTGCTGGAGAGATGGACGGTGTCCTGGACTTCCTGGAGGAGCCCACTGCCCAGTGCAGGTCTCCTCACTTTCGGGTACCCAGTGCCAGGGCGATGATGAAGCCCAGAACCAAGAGGAACATGGCGACAGAGAGCAGCACTGTGATGACCACCATGCCCCCTGTCCGGGCCATTCCCAGCCCAATGGATTCCACCTTCCTTCCTGTCAGAAGAGAAAGCAGAGGGGCCTTTGTGGGCAGGAGGTGCCCCTATCCTACACAAGGCATTCAGCCTCACCCAGCAGTTCTCAACCTGTGGGTCGCGACCCCTTTGGGGGTCGAACGACCCTTTCACAGGGGTCGCCTAAGACCATCAGAAAACAAAAAGATATTTACATGACGATTCATAACAGTAGCAAAATTACAGTTATAGAGTAGAAACGAAAATAATTTTATGGTTGGGGGTCACCACAACATGAGGAACTGTATTAAGGGGTCGCAGCATCAGGAAAGTTGAGAACCGCTGGCCTAGCCCCTCATCCAGCCATCTAACCAGCTATCCCTTCATCTATTTATTCATCCACCATCCAACTGGTCATCCAAGTGATCCAGACATGTATCAAAGACACATTTATGAAGCCACTCCTACATCACTCACTGAAGATACACAAATTAATCAGATACAATCCCTACCCACAATGAATCTTTAGCAGTGCAGGAAGATGAGTGAGTCGACAGGTAGTTAAAATGCCAAGCGCTCAGTGTTACCATAGAGGAAAGCAACGGGGATAAGGGAGCACCCTGAGGGGCAGCTGGAGGGTGGGTGGGAGGGGCCAGGGAAGATTTGGGGGCCTTGGTATGTGAGAGGGAGCAGGGGTTACTTACGAGGAAGTGTAGACATTGGGATCTCTCTACTGGACTCAGTGGATGTCCCCTTCATCACTAGGTAGGAAATGCTTTTGTAGTGGGGTTTGGAAGAGAGACAGGAGAGGATCCTCAGTGAGAATCTGGGACTTGGGGGCAGAGGGAGCCCAGGCCCCCTCCTTCACAGTTGTGCTTCCCATTGTGCCCTCCTCTAGGAGAGGCCCATTCTTGACCCATTTAGCTGTGCCCGAATGCTTTCCCCCATGCCGACCACCTCCCCTCACCCCCCCCACCAACAAATGTCAGGACCCAACTTCTCTTCCTGTACCCGCTTCTGCAGTTGTTCCAGGCCTGGATCTGGTACCTACTAGTATTTGGTTCCTGGCACGAGGTTTGTCACCTGGTAAGCACTGAGCCGGGTGACCGTGAAGCCAGCCCCACCGTCCACCACACTCACCAGTTCCCTTCGCCCACGGCATGGAGGCACCACAAAGCTAGATTTCACCACTGGGCAGGAAATTGGGGGTGAAAAGCAGAGTCAAGTTTCTGAAGGCCCCAAGGAGAAGAGGTAGCATTTAGAGTGTGGGCACAGGAAGGCATGCATGGGAGGAGGGATGCTGGGGATATACTGCGGAAGGGCTAGGGGGATGCCCTGGGACAGGGTAGCAGACCTTTGCTGTCATTGGCTCTCCGGACCATCAGTGTGGCATTGCCCCCTGTGAGGTGACAGGGGGGCAAGGCTACTAGCAGGCTCTCTGTTAGCGCCGAGGACAGCAGACCAGAGAGGCTTGAGATGTTGAAGTCTGCTGAAGGGCCGGGAAGAAGTTAAGTGTGTGTGTGGAAAAATTCAATTCCTCTCCCCCACCATTAGATCCGGCCTAGCCCCCAGGGGCCTTTCTAAGTACCTATGCAGAATCCTCCCCTTCCACTCTGTAGTCTGACAGAACACAGGCCTTTGCGGGCCTGACCACCAGGTGGCAGGCTTGAGCTGCAGAAGCGTAATACTCCAAGTCTCCAAACCCTGGGTGCCAGGAGCGGCAGCACCCAACCTCACCCCTACCTGCAGCCTTGGGCCCTTCTCTACACCTCTTTGCCTCCTGAGTCTGGAAGAGAACCAGGAGTCTGCCCTTGGCTCAGTGACTGATGCCTGGTCACTGTCATCAGCAGGCCCCCACCTCCAACTGGCCAGAAGAGCTCCTCTTTCAGAGCCCTGGAATGCACAGTGCCTTCTATTCAGGCCCCAGCTCCTCCCCACCCCCGCCAGAAGTAGCAGAGACCTGCAGCTCCTGGGGCCAGAACAGCCAGCAGAATCAGGATCAAGGACGAGGTTCTGATGGGTAGTGGGAATGCCATAGCTGGGCTGGAAGCTGAAACAAGCGCTGGCAGGCTGTAGCTTCCTGAGGCAAGTGAGGCCCTGCCTCTGGGGTGGCTGGTTTTGTCCTGGGGGAGGGAGGGGCTGGAGGGGAATCTTGTCCAACCTGCCCCTTGGGCCCTACAGCCTGGGGGGGGGGATATGGGGGGAGGCAGGTGGAGCCAGACAGGTTTTTCAGGATGGGTAGTTGGCCCCCCCCCCCGGCCAGGATTAGAGATCTTGGCTGGATCTTGGTGGCTTAGTCAGCTGCAGAGGGGCAGGGTAACTAAGGTGAGGGGTGGTGGAAATCACCCCTTCTTCTGGGACTCTCACATGCAAGGGCACTGGTGCTCCTGCCTGCATAAGCATGTGGAGCCTGGCCTGCAGAAAAGAGCTTCCCCAAGTGGTGGGAGGTCTCCGCAGCGGGGCAGCAAGTTCTGAGGTTGCCCTGGTGTACAGGAAGAAGAAAACAACCTGAGGGGCTCCTGAAAGGGCCTTGGCGGGGCAAGAATGGAAGGGAAATGGAAACTGGGTAGTAGGGGCAGCAGAGCCAAGGGTTTCAATTCTTGGTGTCCACTGAGGCCCAGGTACTGCTACTGTGAGAGAGGCAGAGCGGGTGTTGTGGCAGAGAGTGTATAGGGGCTCAGATTCCTCTGGAGAGTGGGGTCAAGAGTGCCAAGTAAGACTTCTGGAGAGACCAGAGATGTTGGCACTGACCCAGTCTAGGGGTGGGGGTGGGCACAGTCAGCCTTGGGCACAGCAACCTCTGTTGAACTGTTTGAGAATAAAGAAGAGAAAGAGACCTGGTAAGAGAAAATGAAAAAGAGACACAACTTCTCTGACTGTATCCCCTACCCATGTGCTCAATTAAATGAAGAAGTGAAGAAGGAATTATGAACAGAGGGAGAGGAGAGATGAGGAGAAAGTACTGGGCAGGGGCCTTGCACGCTCTAACATGCTTATCCTTACAGCCATCCTGGGTGGTAGATGTTATTGGCACCCTTTTGTAGATGTGGAAACTGAGACTCGGAGAGGTGAAGTCACTTGTGGAAAGTGGACACTTTGTCAAGAAAGGTCGTAGAGGCCTGAGAGCTCCATAGAGTGGTATGTATGTCTTTTTGCTCCATGAACCACTCTATCTTCCCCAGTCCCAGAGAAGGATCAAGGTCCCGATAGGGGAATGAAGGACTGTTGGGGTTGTATCCTTACCCCCATGGTGGGAAGGTTAGGCTCAAAGCCTGGGATGCAAGCAGGGGTGACAGTAAAGATAGAACTCATGGACCCAAGCAGAAGGTTGGAGGGTCGTAGACCAGTGCTTCTCCAAATTTAATGTGCATATGAATCACCAGGGATATTGTTAATATGCAATTTCTGATTCAGTGTGTCTGAGGTGATGAAGCCTGAAATACTGCATTTCTAACGAGCTTCTGGGTAACACTGAATGATGCTAGTCTGATAGGCCCATAGTTTGAGTTTCCAGATGCTTTGTATTGCACATCCCCACATACACACACCCTGGATCCTCTCTGATGAAGATCAGGGACAAATGTTTTTCCCCACCCAGTCTCCCAGGACAGGCTGCCTTTGGGTAAAGAATTAAATTATTTTGCCCACACCTTGGCTTATGTCCTCGTTTAGATCAGATTCTACTATCATTCTACAAACTAAAAGAGGATCTTTTGTACATTGAGGAGAACTTTGGAGGGAACAGACTAAAGGTGGAATTCCAGGGGTGAGGGGATTTTCCTGGTGCTCTTCAAACCCCCTAGTCACTAACCCAGGAGGATATTTACACTTGGGCTTGGAAGGTGTCTTTTCCCACTTTAGTCACAAGCCAGGAAGCAGAAAGGAGAAGAGGTTGGGTTTATTGCAGAGCAGGTTGTGCTGGGTCCAATCCTAAGCCCCATTCCTATCTGAAATTATGAGTGGGACAGAATAGGGTAGAGGAGGGTAGAGCTCTGACTAGATTTTAAAGGGATAAGAGGGCCCTGTGCCTTTAAACCCTCCCTTCTTCCTCCAACCCCCCCCCCACCCCACCCTTAGCCCTCCCCAGATTTCTGGAGGAGCTAAGAGTTGCTGTCTTCTCCTTGCCCTGCCAAGCTGCTCACTGGCCGCTCTGGAGGCTGTGCTTTGTGGTCTCCATGGGAACCATTAGTTGCTAAGCAACTGGAGCATCATCTGTGCTGAGCTCTCGCATCTAATTATCCCATCACAGTGGCTGAGAAGGGTTTGGGGAGCTGAGAGGAGGGGGAGGCCAAGCAGAGGAGCAAGAGGATAACTCTTTTAGTAGAGCCGATTCATTGACAACACTGAAGTCATTTAAAGCCACAGCACCCAGTTCCTCTGGAGAATTTTCTCATGGCTTGGAGTAAGGGAACTAGAACCACAAATGCCTGTGTCTCTCTCTTGGACCCACTCTTTCTAGTCTGTCTCTCGCTTGGATTCTTGATTCTAAACTCTCTCAAGTTCCCTTCCCTGACTCTTTTCTTCCAAATTCCATATTCAAGTTAACAAACATTTATTAAGTACCAGGTACGTTCCTGGAACTATGGTAGGCACCAGAGATATAAAGGTAAGGTAAGTTTCAGCTCTCAAAGAACTCCTAATCTCCCTATTCTGCCTGGATTAGAAGATTAACTCCTAAATCAGATCTACTCTTGCTGAACTATGGTACTTTTTTGTTTTTCCTTGAACTATGGTAGTTTTGCAATCAGAGGACCTCAGATCAGAACCCAGGTATGTCTGATACACTGGTGGTTCTCTTTCCACAATGCTGCTCTTCTGCTTCCCAGTGAATTAGAAAAATGTGTCTCCTTGACTCTATGGACATGTCAGCCTCTAATAGAAACTATTGTTCTCTTGTTGATGAGTGACACCATATAACTTCTGGTAAGTCACTTTGAACCTCAATTTTCTCACTTATAAAATGGGGAGACTTGGGCTGGCTGAGTGGCTGAGTTGGTTAAGAGCTCGCTCAAGAGTGCAAGCTCTGAGCAACAGCGGTTCGAGTCCCGGCCTGAGCTGAGCAGCTGCTGAGCTGCCAACAGGTGGCAGGATGGCTCAGCTAAGAAAAAAAAAAAAAAGGGAGACTCATTCCTGTGCCTTCATCTGGTAACATATGACAGGTGTAAAAATGCTTTAAAATAAAGGTGCAGAAGGAATGCAGGAGGTCATTGTCATAATGTGTAGGCCAAATTGGGGGAAACCCTGGGGAGTTGAACCTAGAGGTAAGATGCAGTGCTCACCAGATCAATATCATATGATGGTGTGATGGGAAATGGCAGAGCCTTTATCCTTGAGATCTGAGGCTGGAAAAGGCTGTGAGAATAAAAAAAAAATCTCAGTTATTCAGCTGGAAAAGACCTGGATGCTCCTTTTTTTTTTTTCCCCCAATGTTGCCTATGACAAAACCACTTACCCAAACCTGCTTCTAGCTTTGTGACTTTGGCCAAGTTACCTACCTAACTACTCTGAGCTGCAGTTTCCTTTTCCATAGAAAGGGTACAAAATCTGTCTCACGGGGATATTGTGACTATCACTCAAGCTAATTTAAGAGTGTCTAGCATGTTATCTGGTTCAATAAATATTAATTTAAGTAATTCATCTTATCCTCTCCTTTTTATTAAGCCTTAGTGCAGGTGAAGACTAGAGACTCAGAGGCAATAAACGACTTTCCCAAGGTCACTGAGTGAGTAGAGACTGAGGTGGCAGAGAATTTAGAATCTGCTTTTCCAGCTGTGTCACTGATGCAAAGGGAGATGAGGGGGAAAAGTGACTGAGACTGGACCAGCTGTTCCTTGTATAGCAAGCATGCACAGGGGTACCAGGCACACAATAAACATTTCATTTAGTAAACAGTTGTTGAACAACTCTTCTCTGGGTACCATGCTAGGTGGTAAAATACAGAGATGACAAGACACAATTCCTACTCTCAAATTGCTGAGTCTTGAAGAATGAACCAGAGTTAGCCTGATTGAAATACGGAATGGGATATTCCAAAAAGAGGAAGCCGCAAATTAAAAGACTCAGAGATGTGAGTCAGAGATGTTATTCTGACACCATCTGAGAACTATGAACTGTACATCTTGATTAGAAAGAAGTATTCAAAGATGGGTATGGTGATACTTACCTGGCAGGGGAGATACCATGATCATGAAGGTGGTTTTCTCAGGGCAAGGCTTATCCATTGCACTCTGGATGTGCTGACCCCTGCAATTTCCCCAATTGTGGGAAATTCGACTGCATGATTTGTGGTAGTGGGGGACTGCGTTTGCGCTCTCCCCTGAAAAATAAAAAATGATTGGTATGGTGAGAGCTCTAGCTACTGGCAGGGTCACCAGTGACTTTGTAGGCTATGCTAAGGAGCCTGGTTTTTACCCTGAAGAAAACAGAAAGCTTTTGAGGAGTTTTAATTGTGTAAATATCATTCTGGAAACAGTGTGGAGAATGGAATGGCAGCAAGTAATGAATTGGCACATTGTAGCAGGGTTGGTCTGTATGGCCAATAGAATATAACACAAGTGATGGTATGTCACTTCTGAGGCTAGGACATAAAAGGCATTTCACTTTCCTTCATGCTCTCTCTTGGATTGCTCTCTAGAGGACATGGGAACACCTCTATGAGGAGGTCCACATGGCAAGGGATTGCGGTCTTCTGCCAGTATTCAGTGAGAAACTGAGACCTCTAGCCTACAGCTCTGTGAATGTGCAAGCTTGGAGGCATATCCCCCAGGCCCAGTTAAACCTTCAGATGACTGTGATCCAGGCTGACAGCTTTGCTGCAACTTCATGAGACACCCTGAACCAGAAACGCCCAGCTGAGTCTCTCCCAGATTCCTGATTCTCAGAATAAACGTCTGTTTTTATAAATGACTAAGATTTTGGGTGAGTTGTTAGTCCTCTGGATGTTTTCATAATTGAGTATGTGCGTCTAGAGCAGAGGAGAGGTATGGGATAAAGAGAGGAAAGGTGAGCAATGGTTAAAATCATGACCGTGGAAGAATCCTTGAAGAAAGTAGCAAGCAGATGGGAAGGAGAAGACAGCCAAGGGCAGGATACTGGGAAACGCAGCATTTAAAGGACAGATGGAGGAAGAGGAGGTGATGAAGAAGGAATGAGAATTAGGAGGAAAACCAGGAGGGAGTAGATGGAGTTTCGAAAAGGAGGTGTCGAATGATTTGAAGGTAAGGACTGAAAGAGGTCCACCAGGCTTAGCTTTGTAAGAGTTTTGCATATCCTTAGAAGCAGCTTCCTGCAGATCAGGAAAGCAGAAGCTAGACTGTAAGAGTCCAGAGATACCTGAGAGGAAGTAGAGTTAGAACTCTATGGATTGCTTTTTGAAGAAGTTTGGCTGGGAAGCTAAGGAGATATAATGAGGGAATCTGAGATACAGAAAGGCTTATCCATTTTGCTTTTTAAAGTTAAAGATACAAAAGGGGGTATAATTGATGGAGAGGCTTCTGGAGGAAGAAAATAAGGTTCAGATCAGAGGTGTAGGCATTACCCTTTGCCGTAGAAACAACACTTCCTAGCAGAGAGAATGGGGGCAATGATGCAGAGAAATGTTATACTTTTTTTGGGGTGGGTTGGAGTGCGAAAGGATGGGAAATAGAAGATGTAAGTTAAGGGCTCTCCCTCCTGAAGGACTCTGCATTCTCTGGGAAATAGAAAAGTCAAGGGGGAGAAGTGTTTGGGACCTGAAAAAGGGTGAGAGTTTGAAATCGCTGTTGAGGGGAGAGGAGGACTCAGCTACCAAGAGCCTTGAGGAAGGCTGTGTTTGGTGGTGATGGCCCAGATGAGTTTGAGGACCAGTGGTCTTTGGGGGCACTGACTGTATTAGTCAGGGTTCTCCAGAGAAACTGAACCAAGAGGATGTATATATATAGAGAGAGATTTATTTTAAGGAATTGGCTCATGTGATTGTGGAGGCTTGGCAAGTCCAAAATCTGATGGGGGAGGCCAGCAGACTAGAGGCATAGGAAAAGAGTTGCAATTCAAGCCCAAGTCTCTGTGGGGAGAGAGAGAAGGTCAGTCTTTGGTCTATTAGGGCCTTCAACTGATTGGATGAGGCCCACCCATATTTTGGGGTAATTTGATTTACTCAGAGTCCACTGATTTAAATGTTAATCTCATCCAAAACACACCTTCACAGAAACATCTAGAATAATATTTGACCAAATATTTGGGCACGATGGCCCAGTCAAGCTGACACATAAAATTAACCATCATGGGCCGGCCGAGTGGCGCGATGGTTAAGAACTGGCTTGGGAAGCCAGAGGGCCCCGGTTTGGATCCCACATATGAGGGCCAGTGACACTGCCCTCCACAGCTAAGATGCTGAACAACAGCTCAACCTGGAGCTGGGCTGCCGTGAGTCACCAGCGATGGCATAGGCTGCAGCCCCTGTGGCAGTGGGTTGCCATGGGCTACCATATGTAGCCAGCAGCCAGTGTGAGCGGCCAGCAGCCAGCGTGAGCGGCCAGCAGCCAGCGTGAGCGGCCAGCAGCCGCAGTGAGCGGCCGTCCAGAAGCCGGTGACTGATCTGCCTCGCCTGGAAAGAGCGCAATGATGGTGCAAACTTGGGCCAGTGAAGCAACATCCTCCACAACTAGACAGAAGAACAAAATGACAGCAACTTGTCTTTTCCCCTTCCTCCAATTCCCCAGCACTGTTCCCATCCCCCCAATTCTCCAATAAAAATCTTTAAAAAAAAATTAACCATCACATTGACCTTGGAATTTTGGAAGTTTTAAAAATTACTCAACAGTTTGAGTGTATAAATTATAAAATTGTCAGGTTGTACTGACTCAGCATTAGGGTTTTCAAGGCATGGAGTGTCGATGGTATTGGCAAGAGTGAAGGGATGGAAAATAAATCTAGGCTAGCTCTGAAAAGTGATGCAACTGGGTAGAGCACTGAGGGGTTGGGGTGCTCAGTGAGGTCAAGGTAGAATAAAGGTGTGAGAGAAGTGGAAGAGCATGGGAGTATGGATGGGGTAGTATAGAGTGGTGGCCATCTAGATGGCTACTGAGGAGAGAAAGCCAAGGTCTTCGTTGCAGCTAGATGGATCAAAATGTTGTGACGCCAGACAGGGGCTGCAGACCCCAGTGTCATGAGGAGCCAGGCAGTTAACAAATGTAGCAAAAAGAGATGGGTGAAAACCAGCTTGAGAGAGTGTAGCAGCATGAGCTCTGTCTAAAGGGACCACCCCATGCAGCTTTGGAAGAATTGCCTTGCAAAAAGTGGGACTTAGGATGGCCATACCTCCTTGCTTTTTCAAGAGAAGCTAAAAATCTGAATTTATAGGTAAAGTGTTCTTATTTTCAAATTTAAACTAATATACATTATAAAAATGCACTTTGTGGGCCAAACAACATATGTCTTTGGGGCCAGCTTTGCCACTGGGGCCCCCAGGTTGTGCCATATGGGACAGAGTGTTGGAAGGGGACTAGGTATTTCCTAGATGAGCAAAGAGGAAGACCATTTGAGTCTGAGGGGACTGTAGAAGCAGCAAGGGGTTTAGTGTAGCCAGTGGGCAGAGCCCTGGGAAGGAGGGATTGCAATGAAAGGGGTGGGATGCGGAAATGAAGGAGACCTGGCTCACCATGTTTTCCACAGACATGAGGGGATTTTGACAGGGGTTAAGCAGGGAAGTGGCATAATTCAGTTTAGTTGTAGAAAAGTTATTGTAAGGGTAGGTGGAGGCTGATTATGGGATAATTAAGCCTCTTCTTAAGCCTGAAGGAGAGCTAATCCATACAAGACATAATGATGGCCCGAATTAACTTGAATTAATTTATTCAGTAAATGTTTATTAAATACCTTTGCACCAGTCACTGTGCTAAGTGCTGGACATTCAGAAGTGAATAAGACATTGCTTTCCCTGAAATTATGGTCTAGTGGGAGATACTGAGGAGTCCACTACTACACTGCATCAGGATTTTAGTAGAAGTAATAATAACAGCTATTATTTATTGAGTGCTAACCACATGTGCTAAGTCCTTTATGTATTTTCTTGTTTAATTCTCATAACAACCTCTGACATGTATACTGTTATTATCCTCATTTTATTAATGAGGAAACCAGGCCAGAAAAGTTAAATGACTTGCCAAAAAGGCTCCTCACCAAAGGGGCAACTTACATGGGCTTGGGCAGTCCTGAAAGGTTTCCTGAAGGAATTAATAAAAACATGAAAGTTAAGTAGGAGTTAGCAGGGTGAAGGTGGAGGGAGGAGTGGAGACTGTTCTAGGCTGAGAGAACTGCAAAGGCTCAAGATTAGAGAGTGGACCTATTGGAGGTTTGGAGTGGGATTTGGGGAAGACTCTAGAGAAGCGGCTGGGACCAGATGAAGAGCTTTGTAAGCCCCTTTAAGGAATTTTAATTTTTATCCTAAGGATAAAAGGTAGCCCCTGAAGGGTTTAAAACTGGAGAGTATCATGATCAAATTTATGTCTTATAAAGATGATTTTTGATGCTATGTGTTGAATGAACAGCTGAGAGACATTTCAGATGTCTTTTGACATGTTGAGATAAGAATCTAGGCAAAAGATGATAAAAGAGGAGATTTTGGGGTGATGGTTTGAACGGGACAGCTATGGAAGGGGTAAAGAGCAGAATTAAGGATGCCTCCCAGGTTCAGGCTTGGGCAGCTGGGTGGCTGCTGGCAGTCAGTAGCTGGGGCAATGCTGTGGGGATGGGAGGAACAGATTTGTGGGGAGGGAATGGAGATCTTTCAGTTTTGAATTGCTGAATTGAGTGCCTGAAGAACATTCAAGTGGAGATGTGAAAGGTGGTTAGATGCCTGCTCTGGAGTTCCGGAAGGTTGTCAGCACAGGTGTGACAGCTGCAACCTTGGAGAGGAGTACATGCCAAATAAGAAGACAAGGTCAAGGACAGAGCCTGGGACAACAAAATTATGGGCAAAGGAAAAGAGGAGCCTGCAAAGGAGACATAAAAACTTCACGCCCCCCCCCCAAAAAAAGAACCAGCAGGGAGTAGCACCCCAGATACTAAAAGAAGGGCACTTCCAGGAGCTGTTCTGCAGCAGACTGGTTCTCAGGGAAGAGATTTGGAATGTGCTTCTTGGATTTGGCCAGGAATCATAAAATTGCTTCAGTTTGGGAGGGAAGATGTGGGAATGAGAGGGACTGGGCTGGGGGGGAGGGTATTGAAGGACTAAAGGTCTGGGTGGAGTATGGTCTGGGATTCAGCAAAGGGCTAAGAAACCGATTGTCCTGGGAAGAGCTGGTGTAATGGAGGAGGAGAGGAAAGAGCCTTTTCTCT